TAAAATTGTACAAACAAAGCCTACTGGTATTTCTTATCTTCATTTCTTGCAATCCCTTCTTTGTTCGTTATGCATCACAACTGAGATAATAAGCTTGTGGCAGCATCCACGTTTACTGGTTCCTTTTCCACAATTGCGGAAACCTGAAAAAAAAAAAAAGTTTGGGTTTAAAGTACAAAGCAATTTACACCGTTTGGGGAAAAAATGCCACTAATACCTGTTGTCTAGAAGATTAGTCTGTCTTTATGGGTTTAATTTAGGCTAGTATTGCAGTCATAATTCAATAATTTGGAGGAAACCAGGATTCACTACACTTGACAGAGCAGCAGCCAGTACTTTATGCTGCAGGAGAAAGACAAAGCATTATGCCAGTAAGGGCCAAATGGAAACAGGCTCAGCTTTTAGTTCTGAAGTGCTCTTGACAACACTCTTGCAACTTTGGAAGAAATACTATTACAGCCCAAGCGATCAAATTGAGTGTTAGGTCACGGTCAGCCCTACAGGCGCAGGAGCAATGGTGTAGTCTGAATTCCTGCCTGCATGCAGCAACAAGTGAGCAGGGACAGGGCTGGTGGCACCAACTGCCTTGAAACACTTGCTTGGCCTCATCTGTGCTGGCAGCACTGTCACCTATATTTACTTTTACTCAGCCTCTCCTTAAGGTATCTGACACTAGTTTTGTCGCTCCCAGCCATATAGAAACTTGATCACCCCAGGCACAGTAAATAATACTCAACTCATGTCTACTTCTCACAACAGCTGGGGTGGATTCATCTGTACCTCATCCTGGCCCATTGCTTCCTCTCTCCCCCAACCCGGACCATCAGACTCACATACAGAGGAGTTTGTCAGCAGAACTTAAGTTCTGTGAATTACTTCTTGCACAAGACTGCACATAGCCCTGTTTAAGGGACTAGATGAAGACAAGTGAAACACTGTCTTGAACCCTAAGTGCCGCAGGCAAGAGCTTGTCAGGGTTTAAGCCCAGCCAGTAACTCAGAACCACGCAGAAATGCCTCTTTCAGGTGTTGCTACTTCTGATGATGGAATATGAAGGCTTAGGAATTGGGAACAGAGAGAGGCAGAGCTGGTTCAGAGCACTGTCAGGTGCTTCAGGTAGGGAATGACAAGGTTTATCCTTACTTTCTCTGTCTAGTCATGTTGCAAAGTAAGTCTCAGAACAAGGTGCTGGAGCTGAAGTTAACTTAAAAAAAAAAATAAAAAAAACCATAATTTAAAAATATGGTTTTGGAGCCGTGCTCCAGCTTGGCTACCCACCCTTTTCTCTCTTTACTTTGGTATTTATAAAGCACTTGAAAATGCTAATGAGATTTCAAAATTACCACACCACTGAAATTAATAAAACTGAGTTTATAGTTTTAAAGCAACTGCATGAATTGCCTACAGTCTTAAGAGCCAGGATATAGTGCTTTGAATATATACATTCCTTTCATTTCCTTCCTCAGATTTTTACAAAGGGAAATTACCTGATGACTCTTCTCAGGTTCTGCTGCTGTGCCTTTTGGTATCTGCTGTATTTCTTTCTGGACTTCCGCAAATGCTTTATTTATTGTGTTAACTTTCTCAGCATTCTTAATGTTTATCTGGGAAGAAAAAAAAAACCCACATTGGTATTTTTAACAAGAATTCCACTGACATGTGAAACTGCATCATTTTTATACAACTATTACACAGCAAGTCTTATATGTGTATCTTCCAAATTTACTTTTTAGTAGGCTTTTCTGTTACGCAATTATATCATCCAGTCATGTGCTACTAACGTTCTAATAAGCTGAAAATTATGAAAGCAGTCAAACTTTTTCTATTGGAAATGGAGCCCACAGTGATCCAGAAACAGAACATAGAGAAAACAAAGGCCACAGTGTAGACAGGCCCTGTGACGCCATCCTTGGCTCCTCTTAGCTGGACTGGAGTTCCAGGAAAGGTTCCTTCCTTCATTCGTGTGGTGCACTGACCCTGGCTGGATGCCAGATGCCCACCAAAGCCACGCTATCACTCCCCTCCTCAGCTGGACATGAGAGAACATATAATGAAAGGCTCATGGGTCAAGATAAGGATAGGGAGAGATCACTCACCAGTTACCTTCACAGGCAAAACAGACTCGATTTGGGGAAAAAGTAAGTCTATTTATTAAATTTATTACATTTCAAATGTTCTAGAAGCACACTCATACATCTTCAGGCAACCCCATATTTCGGGATACTACTGCTGTTCCACAGGCTACGCCTGTAATTCACCTCTCAGCAATTTACACAGAAGCAAACTGTGAATGGTGACACATATTCATTTTGCTTTCAAAGCTTTTGTAATTTCAGAGCACGTATTCCATTCCACTAATTCCATTTATTCTGAGTCATCAAGAGAACCAGTGGTAAGAAAGCAGTGGCAAGAGGCTGATAAAGCCTGCTCAGGTTAGCACTTCAATTCATAATTGAACCCAAGAAATACAGACTCAGTTTCTAGCTCAGACCAGTGGATGGGACTGTGGGCAACATGATTTACAAAGATCTCAGCTTGCCCATCAGGGCTTGCTACCGTTTTCCAGCTTCACAGAGGTGCTGGAACAATCCAGTCAGTTTTAATACCTGACAGTGGCAGGACCCCTTCACAGAAAGAGGCTCTATAGCTAGCATGTGTGTATCAAAAGTTGTCTGAGCTTTTATCTATTAAAGAAGAAACCTATTATAACAATTTTTTCTGAACATCTTCCTATACCGGTTAATGGCAAGTAAATCCCCAAAGGCTTAATGAATTAAAGAATACAGCTTCAAACATACAGAATAAAATTTTACTCCTAATAAGCTGAGTTTTCATGAATATGTTTTTTAAACCTGTTTCTCCCTTTATTATACAGAACCCTCTAGACTAAGTGGGGATGTGATGCCATCAACATGAAATTGTTTACTTCCAAAGTTTGTTACGTTCCAGTCCATCTACCACATGAATTTGTCAAGAGGCTTTAGCTTGCAGGAGAAAATCTGAAAGGGTGTTTTTTTTAGAGTTCTTGTTTAACTTGGTTTGCCCAACACACTGCCACTAAATCTAATGGGAACAATAAGCCACTAAGTTTCCACTTATATTATCACATGCCTTTCCAGAAACACCAGCTGAACTCTCAGCAGATTACACAGCCCTGGCTGGAGGCATTTTCTGAGAAGCAGATGCTGTATAATGACTTACTGGCTACCAAGAGGAAAATTCTTGCTTAGATCATCCCCCATCCCTTTTCCCCTGCATTGCTCCCAGCCACACGGCCCACTCATTCCTGTTTATTCCTCTCCGTAATAAAAAATTACAGAGTATTATTTTTGCATGCTTTAGCTTTAGAAAGGAGCAGGAAGGCCTTGCCTTAGCTGTATCTGTGCCTGGTGGTTTGGGTCAAGCCATTTTGGTGATGCGTGCCCTGAATTAAATCATCAGTGACGGTGCAAGTAAACATAACCTCACTGAACTACTGACGTTGTCTTTAGCATCCCACTCCCTGAGGCACACCGAGGTGCTAACGGGTACTTTATAAATGACACCCCCCCAAGGAGAACAGCTTTAAGTCTCCTGTGGCAGAAGCTTGCAGGACATGAGTCAAATGAACTGCGCTCCTCTGAAGACTAGATGATCTTAAAGGTGCTTTCCAAAGCTTACCATTCCATGATTCTATGACAGCATCCACAAATAAACCCCACTTTCGGGTGGAAACGGTGTACTCCGCCACTCTGTGGCCCAGAGGAGCTCTGTCCATGAACCACCTCAGTCAGCCACGAGAGCTCCGCAGGACAGGCCCCAGAGGAGGAAGGGCCGCACCCGCCCGGCCCGACCCGGCGGGAGCCCCGCGGCAAACCCCCTGCGCGGCTCACCTGCTTCAGCCCGGAGGTGACGGGCCGCGCCCTGCCCTTGCCTTTGCCCTTGGCCTTGGCGGCGGCGGCGCTACGAGCGATGCGGAACACGTTTGCTGCCTTGGCCGCCCGCGATCGGCTCTTCCCCATAGCGGAGGCACCGCGAGGGCGGACGGACGGTGACGTCACTCCCGCGCGCCAGGGAAGCCTCGAATCCCACGCCCCTCACCCCCGCCTCCGCAGCGCCGTCATTGCGCGGCAATCCCGCGCGGAGCCGCCAGGTGGCGCTGCGCCACCCCGGTCCCACCCTGCTGTGCCTCTGACCCACGGCTGCGGCGCGTCCCCGTCTCCGTTCTCTCCCTGTTCCGTCCCGTGCGCTCCCCGCGCTCCACGTGTGTTCCCCCGTTGCCCCGCCGGTCCTCGCCCCTGTGACTGCTGCCCGCCGAGCTACACCCGCGATCCCAAAGTAGTGCCTTAAGGTCCCCGAGCGCGAGGTTTAAAAAGAAATAGTAAAAAATTCGGGTGGGTTGTGGGAAACCTTCTGTCTTACGGGTCCCGTCTGCAAAACGTGAACCTTCCTACGGTTAATTCCAAATTGAACTGGCTTCGCTGCCCTCGGGGTAAGGCGGGAGGTGAGCTCAGGGGCTGCCTGGCAGCTGTGCGCGCTTTGCTATACTCTTGGGTCTGGGGTGTGACCCCAGAAACAGGCACTGATGTCCCCGTCTCTCTCCGACGCACAACTCGAGGCAGTGGCGGAGGAGCAGCACTTCTCTATTGAAGCGGTATCCCCCTGCCCGCTTAGACGGCACAGCGCTACGCTGAGGGGCGGCGAAGTGCCTGAGGCGAGAGCCGGCGCGGTGGAGCCAGGGGGCCCGGGGCTGGGGCCGGGGCCGGGGCCGGGCTAGGCGGGCGCAAAGCGCTGCAGGCTTCTTATCGGCTCCCCATCGGGGCGTAGCCGCCCGTCGCCTTCAAAGCGGGCGGCGGTGACGGGGCGGCCGCATCTCGCGTTCCAGCCCGTCCTGGCCCGTCCCAGTCCGCAGCGGCCGGCGAGCAGAGCTATGCTGCACTGGGGATACGATGAGCACAACGGTAAGGCAGCGGAAGGGCGGCGCGGTGGGGACCGGGAGTGGCCGCAGTGCTTTCCCCGGTGCCGTCGGGGCGGCCGGTGCGGCAGGGGGCAGTGAGACCGCCCCAGGGCACCTCCCGAGCCCGTGAGAGTGATGAATGAGCTGAAATGAAATGCTGCTTGGGCTTCCAAGCGTGAGACCGGGCAGGTTTTTGTCTCGGAGTGATGCACGGCAGGCTGCTGCGAGGGGCGTCGGGGCGTGCAGCGTCGCTCACGGGAGTCGGGTCGGGCGCTGGCGCTGCCTCATCCACTGCACGGATTTCGTTTGCTCCCGTAGTTACCAGTTTCCTGTACATACTGAGTATTTATTGAACAGTCACACTGGTTGGAGGTGCTCTATTATCGGCATTGCCTCTCTGATTCAGGGTACCGTCTGCTTCTGTTACACGGTGGGAAACACTAGGGACTAGGATCGGTCATTTGCGTAACTACGCACCTAAGAGGAGATGCTTTTGGATTTTAGTTGTTTCATGGTTTCCTTAATCTTGTTGGTCTTTGAAGTCCCAAGATGTACTCATCAACAGGTTTAAAGACTTTGCTCTGTTTTGCATTGTAAGTCATGCAAATGTTGCTCTGGTGTGCAGACCAGCTCACAAGCCATGCGAAATGAAAGTGCTTTTGTAAATTCGAGACTCAGCTTTGATAAAATGAATAACTTATACTGTCTGTTATAATGCACAGACAAATAAACTACCATGGTACTAAGAGGAGAAAGCTATATATTTGCATATACTAATGCCAATAGGAGTATGCTTTCTGTATATTATTACTTAAGAGTTTGGAATACTGTTTGTACTACCTTTCCTGCCTGGCCCCTTTGTTCCATCTTTTCTGGATGGATGCACTTTTCCTGAAAAACTGGGTGGTGGTTGATCACAGCGATGTTGCAATGATTAGGTGTGTTATCTGCTTTTGTGCAGTGTACTCTACCCCTCCCCTGAAGACGTAAATGGGTCTTGTTTTTCAAATTTGTTTCTCCATATGTTTTCCAAGAGTGCTGTAAACTTCACCTGCACTGTCCAGATAAGAAGCCCATTTTCCCTCCCTTTATACTACCCCTGCTCCTTTGCTATTCTCAAATTCTAGGAAGGGGAGGGCACAACAATTCCTATCAGGGTAGCCCTGGACCTTACTTGAGGCCCCATTTGTTCTATAAAACTCTGTTTACTGGTTGATAACATATTTGGGGTGGAGTTTGGCTTTCTCTCTCCCCTTTTTTGGAGCCCCCAGCAGCTGGGGGGTGGGTAGTTCCTCATCAATCCATCCCATTCCCACCACCTCTCACAAGGGACTAGAGGAGAAAGGCATGAATAGCCAACACTTAACTGCTCTTCCCCAGGATCAGTTTTATTTCTCGTATTTTTCTTTTTTTATGCATTTATTTTATTGCTTTTGCTTGTTTCTTGTTTGGCTGAATAGCAGATGCAGGACATTGCTCTGATTCCTGAAAAATTGTATTGCCCTGCATGGCCCTGAAAATAGTTTCCCTGAAACAAAGATTACATTTTGAAACTAATGAGTCAGAAACCGAGTGAAATTAATTACATGTGTTGCAGTCAGATATTAAAGTTGACTTCCTGAAGAGTTGGAAAGACGTCTGCATTCACTCCGAGTTGTGCATTTGCAGTGATAAAAGTGCTGCTTTTTTTAAACTGGGGGAAAACTCATTTGACCCTAATAACTGCAACATAAATCATTATGTGCATAAACTGTCAAATATTACACATACATGTCTGCATATATGGTATATCTATGTATAAGGATATGGGCTGACTGTTACACAGAATGAAGTGTTGTGGTGGGCTGAGGATGACTGGACATCAGATGCCCACCAAAGCTGCTCTGTCACTCCCTAGGGACAGATCACTCACCAATTACCATCATGGGCAAAACAGTCTGAACTTGGGAAAAAAAAAGTAATTTAATATATTACCTATCAAATCAGAGTAGGATAATGAGAAATAAAACCAAATCTTAGAACATCTTCTCTCCACCCCTCCCTTCTTCCTGGGCTCAACTTGAATACCAATTTTCTTTAATATCTCTCTACACTGGGAGCTGTCTGGTGTTACTTCATTGGACATAGGGGAAGTTTCTGGCACCTTCTTACAGCCCCTCCGCTACCAAAACCAAACCTTGCCCCATAAACCCAGTATAAATGTTCTCCCTTTCTTTGGGCACATATTTCTGTATTTCCTTGGCCTTTGCTTTCTTGCCACTGTCCTTATGTCACAGTTTTGATGGTGCCTCTGTATGGAGGCTTAATATTGAGGTCTTGAAATACGTCTTTTGTGAGGCATTATGCATGCTTTTCTTTGCTGCCCAAGGTTCCTGTAAAAAGGGGAATGTTATCCCCCCTTCACAGAAACAGTCCTTTTAGTTAACTGGAGAATTGGCGTAGTTAAAAGACAAATCAAGAATCAATTGCTTTCAGTTTAATATTTGTTTAATAAAACGTATGTATGTAAAATACTTACATATATTGTTGTTTACTGCAAAATATCTCTGGATCTAATTACTACTATATCACTGAGACACTTTATAAATAAAAAGGGATATGAATTCATAGAACCATTCAGGTTGGAAAAGACCTTTAAAAGCATTGAGGCCAACTGTAATTCCTTATACTATTTTTTCTCCCTGAGAATAATTACATGGTCCTGATGTCTGCTTTTGAAACAGCACTTAATTATTACCTATTATGAATTGTCAATTGTTTTTATTTGAGCTAATCCTATTGTCACCTAATATGCATCTAAATTACTTGCAAACGTAACTTTGTAAGTTTAAATATTTTATATATGACAATGTGAGCAATGCATTCCCTTTAGGAATAAACAAGGATGTGATCCTGCCATGGTCAGACCATGCCAAACTAATGAACTTTGTGCATATAATAGCAAACTAAAAAAAGAATCCACTTTTTCACCTGTAAGTGCTCTATTATGCAAGTATAGAGGCTCAATGCAACTGAACCGTATCCTGCGATGTCTCTGATAGGCTTGTTTCGAGTAAATCTATCCTTTTGATGAAACTTGTCATCTTTTAACTCCAGATGGATAAAAAAGCACTGCTGTTAAATGCTATAGTGAGTTCAATTTCCTGACAAGTTCATAGCTGCCTTCATTATGAGATCTGTTTCATTAACTGAGTGTGTGCAGTGCTGTTGGGAATCATAAATATGATCATCTGATCTAAAAGTGACCAGGGTGTTCATCGCATTTGGTTAATTCTGTGTCCAAAATAAAGGCATGCAGTCTTCAGTGCAGATGGTTTGGGGGTTTTTTGTCCTAAATGTTGGTCACAATGGCTTTGATTCTTAAGAGCTATGAGGTGATGTCTAGCAACAGAGCACTTTCTATAAATTCAAAAATTGACATTTATTAAGCAGATTCTTTTGGTAAATTAAATAATTAAGGGAGCTGAATTGGTGAGTACTTTCCTAGGTATGTCTTAAAGTACATATCTAGAACATTAAAGTGTACATTATGTTGAGATGGAGGAATGTAACTCAGGTCCAAACTCAGAAGACATTTTCACCCTGGATTCCCTATCAGCTTAAACTTGATTGTGTGATATGCAAAATATGATTTTGGTCATCCAAGCTAAGGACAAGTAAAAAAGCAGGTACAATGTCTTTTTAGAACTTTTTTAGAACTTTGTAGAAGTTTATTGTCAAATAACTAGTTAATGACAGAATCACAGCCTTGGGTCCTCTTTTTGGCACATTCATATTATTTCTGCATGAAAATCATTCATATTATTTAATGTACAATAACTAGTTATTTCTGGGGTGGAGCAATAGAATCATCGAATAGTTAGGGTTGCCTTTCTTCAGTTAAGGAAAACCTGAAACATTAAAATAAGGTAGCAATAAGCTTTTTCTAAGTGTCCCAGATCACAGTACTTAGGTATAAACAATGGAGTGGTGCTGATTGTAAATAAAATTGTGCATTGCATCTCAAACTACAGGGTACTAGGACATAAACACAATTAAAATTATATCCTATGCTAAACTGTACATAATTAAAACATTGAATAGCTTTGACCATTGTGAAGTGAGAAGAATTAAGTTTAAACAGCTTTATATTATATATATGTATCTTCAAACCAGTAGGATTTATATATTCTGCTATAGAAGCAGCTTCCTTCATGATTTTAGTTAATGAAGGCATTAACAAAAGGACTTTTTAACAAAGTTATGACAGAAGACCCTTGCCTTTGTTCTACCTGAGGTTTAAGTCTTAGGCTGGTCTTTACAAGCTTCTTCTTTTTTCCATTTTTCAGTGCTGCTTGGAGGAGAATCAGTCTCTGCCCAGGTGGCTGCTGCCGTGGGGCACTTCCTTTCATGATTTACTGCCGGGGTGCTTGTGTTATTTTAGCACCTGTGAATTTCTGAGCTCTATTCTCTTCTATTGAAGTCAAAGAGAGAAAGCTATCTATCAACTTTTGATGTTAGGATATTAATCACCGTGTGACACATTTTAATCCCTTTTTTTATCATGTTTATTTAAGCGCTGAGCCATCCAGAAAGACACAAGCCAGAGATAAGTCACCTTCAATGTAGGGAGTTATGAGGATTTCCAGTGAGGCAGATTTTACAAGATCAGCTTCTGATGCTCATAATTAAGTGTTTATTATATCCAGTCTTTCTTAGTTAATTTATTATGCTTCTTACCCATGACAAGCCTGGAGGAAAAAAAAGTGCTATGCTCTTTATAATACTGAAAGATCATCAGCCATGCAGACTTTCCACTTTTCCCTTACCTTACCCTCTTTCCTCTTTCCTTGTCTGATGTCTTTAGTTTATAGAATATGTTTCACAAGCAACTCATTGTTCCCATTTTTCTTCTATGGCCTCTTTCTGCACTGTTTATTGTTCAAATATGATTCAACAACGGCACATATATTTTTATTGAGAACTCTCTGATGTTTAGTAGATAAGGACACCTCACACATCTCATCAATTAAGCTTTTGTTACTGTTTTAGAATGCCATTTGCCATTTTTCTTATCTACATGTTGCTTATCTACAGAGACAAAGCTTTTCAGCTGACTTGTGGCTTAGCTTGCATGGAGGGAGGACAGGTAACTCAGAGCTAATGGGTTGGGAGGTCTGTGCAGCAATGCTTAGGGTACAGGCACAACTATCAGGCTTCAGGATGCCGTGCACCACTTGGCCTTTTTATCAACATCTCCCCATCCCGGTCTGCATAGTCAGTGGAAGATGTGTTCTCAGGTCTTTTGCATCCAATGACTAACGTATTAAAAAAAAAACCTTAATGCAGAGATTTTGGATAGGTAAGAGGTAAGTCCTTAAAGACATCATGAGCCATGATACTAGGCAAAAATAGCATGTCAGAAATTTATTGGGGTGCAGTGCCTGTTGGATACAGGATGCTTGATTTGAATAAGAATTTGTTGGATATGTCTTGTGCGTAGTTGAGTCTTAATTGTGAATAATTACGTATCTACCTACTGCATCTGGCCTTGTTCAAAGGCCAAATGTAGTTAGATACACCATGTAAGGTAGATAAAGGGATCCTGAGAGCTGCTGCTGTGGTGTGGTGCAGCAAAAATAGCTGAATATTTTGATCCGTGTTTTTCTGGTGTGCCCTTTTTGCATGTAAGAGATGCAAACAAGAACAATCCAAACTGAGTTTTCTTTCACATGAAGAAGGGCATTGCCATCAATTTAGACTTCTCCTCCAATGCATTGCAGGGCCTGCCCACTGGAAGGAGGTTTTTCCTGTTGCCAATGGAGACCGTCAGTCACCCATTGACATCAAAACTGAGGAAACCAAGTATGATCCCTCACTCCGTTCTCTAAATCCCAATTACGATCCGGCTTCTGCTAAAATCATCCTTAACAATGGGCACTCCACCAGTGTCGAGTTTGATGACAGCGTCAACAAATCAGGTTAGTTCTTTTCCTGTTGCACTGTGTCTTCTTCCACTGTTTCCTGAATAGAGTACATACAGCCTGGGCATGTCTCACAGCTGAATATAAACTCCTCATTAACAGTAAATCATTGCTCCTCCAGGTGATAGTTTCCCTTTTTTTCCCTGGCTTTCAGCATGATGCAATGTAGGAACATATTTGGACATGAGTTTGAAGTTGTATTTCTCAGAAAGTGCTAGGTTTCCCTTTTCACAGGGCTGGTTTGATCCACCTCAACCAACTAGATAGTGCCAGCCCCCTGTTTGAACAGTGTTGTGTGAAATTTTTCAAATGCTGCTCTCTCTCACTGCAGATGAATCCTTTGTGTCTCATTACAGGTTCATTCCAACCGAATCGCTCATGTCTCTTATCTGACTTTAGCTGAAAGTTTGTATATATATTTTTTTTCATTTTTGCAATCCACACCTCGACTTTTTGTGTCAGGAAAGAGCTAATACAGAACAAATTAAATATATTCCAAGTGATCCCCTTTCTTCTCTGTAAAGTTTTATTGCACCAGTCTTTTCTAAGAGTATGTAGCTTCCCTTTCTGAAAGCAATAATTCTTATTTAGAAGTTCTATGATTTAACATAGTCTTTTAAATCAGTTAGTGCCTTCATCTTTAAAGCCTTCTCCTCAGTGGTAGGCAAGCTAGCACACCTCCCCTTGAAACTGTAGGAGTGCAGATTCTTCAAGCAATAAAATCCTCTTATGGTTGTGTGAGGCTTAGCTGAGGACCCAAGCTCATGTGATGCTTTCACAAGGGTCGATGCCAGAAGAGGACTTATTTGTGATCACCCTGTCCATTAGTCTGAGAACCTATTAACTTGTAGCAGCAACAGGGAGAGACCTAGATTGAGACACCATCATACTTTGCTTTCATGGACAGTCTAAGGTTAATTCTTGAATTTTCTGTTGATACAAGCAACATTGGATGTTGCCTGAAAGCCATCAGCTGACCATCAGTGATCTGGTCTGACCTCCTGTGTGTCAGATGCCACAGTACTTCCCAGAATTAATCTCTGCTTCAAGCCTAGTAGGCATGGGTGAACTAAAGCACATCTGTTAGAAAAACATACAATCTTGATTTCAAAATTGCCAGCGATGAAGAACCTACCACAGCCTTTGGTAAGTTGTTCTATTTGTTAATTATCCTCACAATGGAAATCACGCTTTATTTTAGTGTAAGTTGGACCAACTCAGCCTTTAAGCTACTTTTCTTTTGTTGGTTTTTGTTTGTTTGTTTAATAAAAAGTAACAAATATGAATATGAATACACCAAGAACCTCTTCCACCTTCTAACTCCATCTTTGAAGTGATAGGGCCTTAACACAGTATTTCTCTAGGCTTACACGGGTAATGTGATCCTCTTCTTACTGGTTTCCTCAGGCCTTAGCTCCGTGGATATAGTTGGTGTCATGGCAAAGCACTGACAGATGTTGATCAGATAATTAGTAAATGTAATCCCCAGTCTCCTGTCTGTTTCTTCTGTGTATGGACTAGATTGTTCAGTCCACACAAATGCCTATACCTTTTGGGCGTTGTCATGCTTTACTTATCAAAGACTTCAAATTCTTCTGTATTCATAAACTGAGTTACTCACTATTTTCCCTAATATTTGTCACTGACAAACTTTATCAGTAATGTTTTTGTTTTCTTTCAGGTCATTGATCAAAAAATACTGAATTTTCTAGGGCCAAAATTTGGCCTCTGGGGCACTCCTGTGAAGTAAGAACACCTAACATATGTTGGTTTAATTAAAAAAAAAAAAAAAGAAATCAAATTAATTGGTAAAATTTTTCATGTTAAATGCATTAGCATCTTTCAATGCATCATTAACTGGGCTCCATATGAACTATTTCTTCATCTTGGCCAGCACTGAAACTGGGCTGTCAAGTCTGTAACTGTATAATTCTTTTTATCCTCTTTGGTGCCACATTCTCTGAAATTGGTCTATTGGTATTTCAAAGACTCTTCTTCCAGTCCTTTTCAAACTTTGAGATCTTGGTATTTGCCTTAAATAGCTTCTGACTAACCTCTTCCTTAATTACTGTTGTAATGGAAGGGCTTTACCATTGATAGTGATGTGGCACAAATACATCATCAGGCCATTTTCCATCTTTTTCAGCAGTAATTCATTGAATGCTGATTAATTACTATATAATTGTTTTCCCTCAACCAATTAGAACACCAGTCTTTACACATTTCTAGGATCATTTGTCTGCAAGTTTTCAGTCCTAGAAAGAAGGAGTTTGTTTTAGGACTGCCACTTCCCCATCCCCTTTGTTCACTGGGTTTATAGGCTCTGTAAAAGCATGGTTCTGAGTTGAAGTTTTAAGGAGGTCATATACTTTTCTCCACAGATAAACAGTTCCAGTTCCTTTTAATTAGCCAGGCTACTTGTGTTAGCAGAGAGGCAACGAAGTTTAGGCTTTTAGAAGAGAGGAAAACTGTTGTCCCTCCCATCACTCTTAATTTAAAATCTATCTAGTTAAAGCTCCCCTCCTTTTCCCTTAAGTTCTCTATAATGAGCCAGTAAACCCACCCAGAATAATTCCCAAACCCTCAGAGGAAATGTGGAGCCAGGAGAGTGGGGTGCTTTGATTTGCAGTGAATAAGGAATCTTTCTGAATGTGATTCACATTCGAGTCTCTGTGCAGAGATGGTTTGGTTCCAGCTGTGCTTAGCAAAAGACAAATACTTCCAAAAGCAAAACAATGAAAAGCCCACCCATATGCCTGTTAGGTAGAACAGAAGAGAACAGAATAGAATTAATATTTCAGTTGGAAGGGACCTATAACAGTCATCTAGTCCAACTGCCTGACCAATTCAGGTCTGACCATGTTAAAGCATGTTGTTAAGGGCATTGTCCAAATGCCTTTTAAACATTGACAGGCTAGGGACATCAACCACCTCTACAGGCCTGTTCTAGTGTTTGACCGCCCTCTTAGCAAAGAAATGCCCCATGTAAATCTCCCCTGGCACAGCTTTGAACCATTCCCATGTGTCCCATCACTGGATGTCAGGGAGAAGAGATCAGCATGTCCCTCTCCACTTCTACTCCTCAGGGAGGTGTAGAGATCAGTGAGGTTGCTCCTCAGCCTCCTTTTCTCAAAACTAGACAAGCCCAAACTCCTTAGCTGCTACCTGTAGGCCATTCCTTCCAGCCATGGCTAATTAAATGTTTGTAATATTAAAGTTGTACAACGCTACAATGCATATGTAGTGTTGGCTTCATTTTATGTATGCTAATAAATGCTCCTTTTCCTCGGACTTAAATCTGACATAACTGGATCTATTTGCAAATGAAGGAAAGAGCCTTGAAATTTTTTTGCTTTCCTCCAAAATTTCAAAGAGGAGAAGAAATTATGTTCACACTGTATTTTTCTGATCCTCCCCTTTATTCATAAAACCTATATTTTAAGCGTAATTTCTTCGTGATTCTTTTAAGTACTTTCAAGAGAGGAAACCACTTGAAAAATAGACATATTGTCCCATCTTCAGAGAAGTATCCAACCCTGGATAAGTAAGGTAAACCTGGTGACAACAGTATTCCCTTTAGTGGGCAATAACCCACTAATCTTCTACACATAAGTGCACTTTTGAAAGTCATATCCTGGACAAATGAGAGTTTCTGTAGTACTTCAAAGAAATGGGAAGCCATTGAGAAGGAGTAGGGAGTTGTCTGAAGACTGAAGTCTGTGTCAGGCTAGAGGATGTGGGTAGCAGCTTCCGTTCCTGCAGTGAAGCCTCTTCATCTGCTTGGGTTTCCAGTGCTGACTGGGGGACCACTCAGCGGGACCTACAGGCTGCGCCAGATTCACTTCCACTGGGGATCCAATGATGAAGCCGGCTCTGAGCACACAGTGGATGGGATGAAGTATGCAGCAGAGGTAAGGCTTTAAATGGCATCATCTGTACCTCTAAGCTAGTGACTAGTTTTCCATTGTAAATAGAATGTTGCCCCTCCTCGTCCTGCTTTTTATTCTCCCCCCATTTTATTGAAAGACAAGTGGTCTTCCTGAAGTGTTGCATGTTTGGTCCGTTCTCAAAGGAGAACCCATTTGAAAGCTTTGGAGAGCATTAAAAAAGGAGTACAGAAGACAAGAGCTTGATAAAAGCAAGATTTAATGTTCAAGAGTTAGTTTAAACATTGTCTTTCCCTGTGTCTTCCTTGAAGAATCTTTTCAAAGTCAGCTTCCATTACAAACCACAGAATTATTTGATTTGGGGTCTGTGCCATGTAAAGTTTATGCAAGACTTAGGAGTGTTGCATTTTCTGATGCATATAGCAATGTCATGGTTATGACTTTGAGAACCACACGTTAGTATCTGTGGGGTGCTGCCTGTGGAGGTACCGCATTTCAGTGGAGGCAGTGTGTCAGAGGGAGAAATGACACGGAGAGTTTGCTCCTGCTCTGTCTCTTTTGGTGCCCTTGAATAGAATACAGTAGGAAGTATTCTGTATCCCATTCCTCTTTGCAAATGGAAGTAACATGGAGTGTTTTCAATGAGACTGAGATCTTTAACACAGTGGAAGAGCTTTCTGGGGTTAAAAAGAAGTAAAATGTGTAAAAGTAAATGTTAATGGAAAAATAAATGACATAATATTAAAGAAGAAAAAATGAAATGTATGCACAGTGGTGTGATCAGATTTTACTGGAAATGCTATAAGAGACAGTGGTCAGAAAAAAAAAAATCAGTTTCTAATGGGGAAAAGTGACATTTGCAGTGTTTAAAGACTTATGTTTTCCACAGGAACCAGGTGAGATGGAATATAAAGAATTAATAGAGGTGCTTTAAAACCATTAAGTGCCAAAACCAAATTTCTAGCTGAGAAAATATATATGTTTCCCATCTAAGAAACCAAATGGAAGGAGAAAATATCTGAATTTCTAGCCAGTCTAAAAACCTTTCTGTTACCTGTTGGTTGAGTAACCCTCCACAAGAAGCTTTCTAGATGTCACTTTGGCTTTGGGATAAGAAATCCAGAATTAAGATCAAGGCTTCTGAGCACTGTTCACATAAAAAGAAAACACCTCAGAAGGAGACATGAAGATGGTTTCAGTGCTCACCTTCTTAAGAAAGTTGTGCAAGATTTCAAGAAAAAGCATTGACCCGGTTGAAGGAAGAATTAATGTGCAGGTAAAGAAGACTGCAAAGTTCAGTCCCCTAAGCCTACCGGGAAGCAGAAGGCATCCATGGCTTCATTCTTTGTGACAACGTATGGTCTGATCAAGGTCTCTTCACAAGCTGCAATGACAGAGCGGTGGTAAGACGGGATATATTCCTTAAAAAGAAGTTACGAGCCGTAAGAATGGAGCTGTACCCAAAAGTGTTTTACAGCTCTGTTTATATGGGGGTATTGGTTTTTAGGGAGGTTGGTTTGGGGGTTTTTTGCAAAGCTATGAGGGAGTGGAGATGGGCTATATTCAGTTCTGGGAATTTTCCTTTTTGTCATTTGTTGTTTTTTTGTTTTTTTTTTTTCTTTAAATCCACAATAAAAGTAAATTCCGACTGAGAGTATCTGTTTTCTTTTTATGTATGCAAAAGTGTAATTGTTTAAATGTTGTTTAATGTAGCTTCTGTGAACTTATACTAGTGAGTGGTGCAGGCACTATGAGCTCCAGGATACTAATGCACCTGAGAATGGTTTAGTGGACTATGTTCTCTTCCTGGTTTAATTTAGAATATTCTTAGCAACATTCCTTCGAGGATCTCTGAAGCTGGGAGCCAACGTGTGTTTCATCATAAGCATGTATATATTATTACTGGTTTCAGTGGGATTCCTAACTTGCTGGAAGTAATGTTTCAGCACTTTAGAGCCCAAGTGCTCAACAAACATACCTTTTAAGATCTCCATTTTACAGATATGGAAAATTTAAACGAATAGAGGTTAGGTAAGGTCTGAGATTAGAGTCAAAATCTTCACACTCCTAGATCCCTATTTCAACCATGCAGCTATGTCTTTTCCCATAGAAAACCTTTAAAGTAAGTTCCAGCTTTCCTAAACTGCTGTCACTTTAGAGGTCTTGAGATGCTGTATTCCAAAAGGAAGCTTTTTTTTTTTTTTCCCCAAGGGTTCATCCCAGTTTTTGTCACTCAGTGGAGTTGCTTTTCAGCACTCCTAAAGAGTAGAGTTTAAAGTCTGGGAAAACCAGTGCCATGTTCTACTTCTGAGCCTCTCTTTCTTTATCTGAAAACTATGGGTAATAAGATTTACTAATCCACTGAGGATCTGTGAGAGTTTAATGTTTGTGAAGTACTTAGTCGTAATACTGTGTGAGTGTTTGTGCTCTCTCCAATTTGGCAGTTGGACCATTTCCCAAGGCTGGAACATCCGGGTGCTTCCCGGGAACCAGGAGCTCCTGCTGTGGAGCATGGCCAGGATTTAGGAAACCTGGCTTAACAGAAGGGATTGAGGTGGTATGTGGGCAGACATCACAGGCTTTTCCTCTCCCCATCTGGCTGGTGGTGTCTGTAAGCTACTTAAGCAACTACCACTGTGCAGTTCCAGAATAATGCATGTTGGAAATGCAAATGCTCAAACCTGAGATAATCAAGCTTCTTGTAAGTGCCAAACTACTGGTAATCATAGATGACATTTGGGAGGTATCAAAAAGGAAATTTCAGTGTTCAGCTTAAACTAAACATGGGAAAAGGGGTTGGTGCATGTTTAATGTGTGTTCCCCTGGCTGTTTTCTAGCTATTTACGTGGCTGATTAATGTTACTGAAAGCTTGATTAAAAGAAAAAGAGGAGCAAAATAATAATGACTTCCTCATGATTCTCAGTTACTTTTTAAAATCATCTATGCTAAAAACAGATTTAAAAGCTTTAGTTATATAACCGTGGGACATCTTGTCTTAGCCTCTCTGTTCAAAATCTGGGGTCCCAACAGCAGTTTGCCAGGCACTGTGGCATTCTGATTGCTGCTAAATTTTGAATAATCCCAGCCACTGAAATGCTTCTGCCATTTCTGTAAACTACATATTTACCAAATTCATGAAATATTTACATTTAGAAAACCAAATGGCTCTGAATACAAAAGAGCAAAGTAAAGTATCAAAACCAGAAAAGTTGCAGTATTAATTTGTGACTATTTGAGTTCAGCGGGAGTTGATGCTGTCTCTCTTGCTTTTCAGCTTCATGTGGTCCATTGGAACTCAGAGAAGTATTCCAGTTTTGTTGAGGCAGCTCGTCAGTCAGATGGATTAGCAGTCATGGCAGTATTTCTGAAGGTAAAAAAAGAATGCCTGATCCCTCCTAGTAAATCTGCATAATAAACCCAAAGGGATAATGAGATGATTGGTATAATTATTGCTAAAGGCATACTTGTTTTATATGGGCATTAAATGATACTGTTTCCTTCACACTGTTTCCTTGCCAATATGAAAAATTGTGCTTTCTTGAAGGTGAAAAATATCAGATTAATAGATTTTCAAGACAGTGAGACTCTTCAGTTTGCCTAGTGGAACTTTAATTCAGCTGCCCCTAAATGGATCTTGACTAACAGTTTTTTTTAGGAGAGCAATGTGATTTGATTCAAATGCTTCTCTAAAGGTTTGTTTCTGAGCTGGTAGTTTCTTCTGAAAAACAATAATAAGAAAGCCCCCAAACCCAGAAACTGGGGAATTTCCTCATATTTGTCATATACCTCTTTGCCTTCTGTACCTGTTCTAAAATGAAATTAAACTCTTGCAACATCTTAACTGCCTTCTGTATGAAGAAGCAGACGGAGAATTCACACAATCCATGACAAAGGATGGTGCTGGCCCCAGCGTGGTCAGGGAGTAGTTGTATGCAGCAGTTGCAAAGAACTGTTTCAGTAATTCTGTCTTTCAAATTTACATTAGTGATTCAAGGACAGTTTCACACGATTTCTTAGCGCATAAATTCTGCTTGGGATGCATAAGAATGATGTTTTCACTGTTTTAAGAATTCAAATTTCAGATGTAAGCCTACCACTTTTAATATATTGCATATAAAACATTAAAAATAAATTGCTTTTGTTCTCCTGCAGTATAAAGTTTGTGGGTCTTTTGTAGCTGAAATAATTACTATGAGTAGCCAGAATAAATACTGTCTATAAATAATAAATTAAAAAAAAAAGGAAAGAGTAGATCTTCTTTACGACCAGTACTGTTTCTAAGGACCAGCTAGTCAGACTTGTACTCACAAAATCCATCAGATCTCACAGTCATTTAAGTTCTTTGAAACATTTTTGTTCTGCATTTGCTATTTTATTATTTAATTTTGCTACTTTTCCCTGGAGCTCAAATATTTCTTTTTTGTCTGGTCTGAACAGATTGGTGAATGCAACCCTCAGCTGAAGAAGATTACTGACCGCTTGGACACCATCAGAATCAAGGTGAACAAATACTTCTAAGAGAATACCAGTATTGGTGGTTGCTTTTGTTGCTTTGGGGTTGTTTTTTTTGGTAGCCTGTCTGCTACTGCCTTCACTTTCATGTTCCTTAGTCCCTAATTTCGTAGCTATCCTTATCTGATTTGGGACAAAATTAGGTGAAGTGAAAAACTAAGTTTAGGTGAAGTTGAAAACTAAGCACTAAAACTAATTTTTATAAGGTAAGGGATCAGAGGAAAAGGCTAATTCTTCACAGAACCTAGTCTCTGACAAATCTGTTGCTATGACTATTAAGAGGAGAAGAACATATTTTATGGAAAACTGTGAAAAAGATGAGGAAAAGGTTTCCTTCCCTGTTTTGCTGAGGTACAGGTTGAGAAATAAGCTATTGTTTGTATGAGAGAAATTAGGCAGACTTATAACATCATGCATCCTACAGGCATTTCTGGCCTGGTAGCTGCAAAAGGGGGAAGAAGTAGTAAGCTGTGGGCCTGGACAAAAAGAATGGGGAGGGAAGCAGATGGCAGTAAGCTGTGGGATTGCTCTGCCAGCCCCATACAGACCACATTGAAAGTCTAACATCTTCTCACCTCTCCCTTCAACTTCCATCTTATGGTCATTTGTAATTCTAAGCTCTGCCTCCTTTGGCATGATTTATCTCAGCCTCTTGCTTTTAAATAATACTGCACTGTTTTTCCTCTCTTTTTTTTTAAATACAAAAAATAATTTTCTAAATGTCATAGAATCACAGAATGGTTTAGGTTGGAAGGGACCTTTAAAGCTCATCTGGTTCCAAACCCCCTCCCACAGTAGAGGTCCAGGTTTTCCTAGGCCAGGTTGCTCCAAGCCTCATCCAACTTGGCCTTGAGCACTGCCAGGGATGGGGCAGCCACAGCTTTTCTGGGCAACCTGTGCCAGGGTCTCACCGCCCTCAGAGTAAAGAATTTATTCTTAATATCTAATCTAATCTACCCTCTTCCAGGCTACAACCATTCCCCCTTGTCCTATCTATACATGCCCTTGTGAAAGGTCCCTCTGCAGCTTTCATGCTGGCCTGTTTAGGTACTGGAAGCTGCTCTAAGGTCTCCTGGAGCCTTCTCTTCTCTAGGCGGAACAAACCCAGGTCTCATATATTTAATCTAGAATCACAACAAGCTATTTTGTTTTCTTTCCAGGGTAAAAGAGCACTATTCACCAACTTTGATCCTAGCTGTCTGCTTCCCAAATCCCTGGACTACTGGACTTACTTTGGCTCTCTCACTGTTCCTCCTCTTCTTGAGAGTGTCATCTGGATTGTTCTGAGAGAGCCCATAAGTGTTTGTTCTGAACAGGTATTTTTGAATTTTTCACTGCTATAGAAACGTTGCTTTTGTAAGACTTGAAATTGTAAATACCACCCAAAAATATATTTATTTCAGACCTTGGCATTGCATACCTCATCAAATTTTCAAAGGACAAAATATGTCTATCAAATTTATACTAACTTCTTTTTGCCATTCTTTGTGAACAGCTACTTCTTTTCTTTTTTTCTTTTTTTTTTTTCCCTAAGAATCTGCATACTCTGATAATTAACAGTAAAAATAACCCACAAGGAACTTACAAAAGAAAAGTGTTTTGGTGATGCTTAGAAATCCTAGAATTCCATTATTAGCATATCCTGCTAAACCTCATTTTGGGATTTTTATTTGTCACATCAATAGTAAATGTCTTCTTGCATTCCAGATATGTAAAACCTAGTAAATTTACTAGAATAATGAAATTCAGATGTAATTATAATAAGTGAGGTTTTATGTTAGGCTATCTTAGCAAAAGTGTGATAAAAGAATCTACTTAAATTTTTTGTGAAATTAAGCTTAATGCTGTATGTTAATGTTGCAACAGTGACACCCAGTGGGCTGATCACCTTCGGTATAAAAAGCTTTTTGCATTTGAGTCACTGTCAGGTTATAATTTCTAATATTGGGTGTTGATATATTATTAATATTCTGAGTACATGTAACCCTCAAGATTTTGGTGCCACAGCTTTTGTCTCATTCATGGTAAATATTACAAATACCTCAGAAAATTCAGTACCTGAGGCCACATGAAATGGTGACTGCAGACTGTGCAAAATGGTAAAACAGTTCCTTGAATGGGATGCTTGTTAGTCAGGAGACTAAAATCCTGTTAGTGTGTGCATTTTTCTCATCCGTATCTCTTCCCCACTCCCCTCAATCTGGCTTCATAAGACTCGCTGTAATACATATCAATCTGGAACTGAAAATGCTTGTGAAGATATCAACTCCCAAAAGACAAGCCATTGTTAAGGTTAAAAGGTTCTTATTTGGGCTAATCTATAGTGAATACATTCTCAAATGTGAAATACAGTCTGCAAACACCCATGTGTAACAGATTCAGAGGACATGGTGTTAGAAACAGTGTCAAATACAGTGATTCTTTGTGAGTCATTTTTCACAGGCTGTACCTATATCTTAAGTATTTAAGTATGCTATATTCATATAAATATAAGCGTGCATGTAGCTAAAAGTGTTTGTTTCTAGTAATGTCCACCATTGTGATTGATCAATAATCACCATCACTGGTACTGTGCCATTTAAATTTATTCCTCATGTTTGTATTTGTTCTGGGGTTTACAGTTTACGACATGCTTTTGGGGCATTTTTCAGGTTGAAAAAATAAAAAATAGATTTTAAGACTGTAGAAACTCACAGGGAGCCTGAATTACAGATGTTAGCTTTAGAGTGGGGTGAAGTAAGGTAGCATTGACTTTTTTGCTCTTACTGTGATTAAGGTGCAGTGTACCATACAACTAAATGCTCTATTCTAATAAAATGATTGTCATGCTGTCCTACCTCTGGTAACTTAGAAGGGAACTAAGGTGATTTATAAAAATAGTAAATATTGGAAATATTAACAATTAGAAAAAATACTAAACTTCAGGTCAGAAATCAGACTCAGCCTTTCTGAGGTTTAGACATGGAGCTCTGATGCTGGTTTCTGCTGAGATCACGTTAAGCAGAGGAGCTTATACTGAAAGAATAACTGCTTGTTCTGTGTCTTCACAAGAGAAAATTTTGAATTCTCTCCTGGTTTGAGTACATGTTTAATATGTGAAAAGTGCTAATTGCAGAAGCTTTCTATAGCACCGCACCTCCTATTCCAGGTTAATTGTGAATATACAGTTTGAACAAGATGTACACAAGTGCATATAATATAGCTAATTATTGGCATGAAATATTCTAGAAATCTCCATACTATAAAATTAAACTAAAATATATAAAACCCCCTGGTTTAAATCAGGTTATGGAAGACAAAGTGTGAATACAGGAAACAAATAATCCTTATGCACAGTTTCATTCCAACACACGCTTTGGGAGGGTTTTCTCAGTAGTCATTGCTTTTCATTTGCAAGAACATGATATAGAAAAATAGAGTTCCATTCTTCCTTGCAGCAAAAAAAGGTGACAAATATCTTTAATATTTACTACATGATTTTTCATTAGTATAAGCATGAGGGTTTTGTGCTGAACCTTATGTCTCTCTTGATTGCAGCTAGCCAAGTTCCGCAGCCTCCTGAGCACAGCTGAGGATGAAGTTGCCTGCTGCTTGCTGAGAAACTACCGCCCTCCCCAGCCTTTAAAGGGACGAGAAGTCAGGAGGAATTAAAGGAGTAAAGACAGAATAGTCTCCCTCTGAAACCAAAGGCTGAATTAATTTTAATAGTTAATATTCTTAATGATTTTTTTTTTTTTGTGAGTTGTTTTAACAAATAGGTGTTGTTTTGTTAGTGGTTACCATGCAATCATTTCTAACAGACAAGTATGTCCTGAGCTGTTGCAGGTTCATCAATGTTAACAGATCTGACTGTGTTTGAGTGCATTGGTTTGAGAGTGTCTAGGCATTAGCATGCACAGAAGGCAGTGCTAATTATAAAGTTCAAGACATGGTGAAGGAGTTGTCCAGAATTTGCCACCATATTACTGAACAGGATCTCTGATATTAATGGCATCAAAGGATGCTGTGGGATTATTATTTTGGTCTCTAGCATAACATTTAGCTTCTAAATAAGACTTCACACCGTAATTCTCAAGAAAAAGATGTTTCAAAGTTGATACATTATCATTGCTGACTTCTGCAATACCACGCTTACCTTCCTACAAAAAAGCAGTAATGACTGCTTTTAAGTAAAACAGATATATGCATATGATCCTGTTATTCTGGCTGCTTCATGGCAGTAAAGATGTCATGATTTTTAATTTTTTTTAAGCAAATAGTAAGGATTTTGTATATTCTAGGATCATATCAGATGGATTAGGTATTCCTGAATTCCATCACATGTAGTGATGCAATTGTCCTGAAAACTTAAAGGCAGAAAGGCACAGAGGGAATTGTTTGTTCCTAAATCTAATCTGTTGGATTTGATGAACAGTAAGGGACTGTAACACTATATCTATGTAGCATCAGACTCCTGCTACTTAAAAACAGGAGGCAGGGGTAGCTGTTGCTCCAGACTGTTTCCTGCTAGACACGTTGCACACTGCAGTGTGAAGCACATGCTGCATACCTCACGTCTTGCAGTGGAACACAGCACTACTCAGGTATGTAATGTATCCTAGGTACTGGCTAATGTTCTGCTATAATAGCTGAACTTGGGTGGGTTGCACTTACATTCCAAGACCAAAGATAGCAGATAGACCAAGCCAAAGAAATCAGAATCAATTCAATATCTAATAAAAGATCAGCCCTCAGCAGCAATTGTTGAAATGTCTGTCTTGAATGAATTTATTTGAACCTGTGTTTCTCTCAGGAGCTTTTGTTATCTGAATATAATTGTTTGGTTTGTGCCAAATTGATTTTCATTATTTTTAATGAATTTGCCATAGGATAGAGCTTAGTATAGGATTAGGTTTACCCTCAGACTGTGAGTACTAAATAGTGAAAACCAGTGATACCTAAAAGAGGCAGCTAAAGGTTTCATGGGCAGCAACTACCACCAGTCTCTGCAGTAACTTGTGACCAACTCGCCTTCTGTGACTGCTCTGCATGAGCTTGTGTTTTTATAGGTTTTATATGCTGTGCCTTGTACCTCAACAAGTCTTTTAATCTTAGATGGATAAATATGAGGGAGATCAGAATCAGGATTGACTTTATATACCTTTATAAAACTGAATAAATTAGACATAGAGACATAAATATTTTAGCTTAGATTAAGATAGGTGGATTTGTTTGTTTGTTTATTTTCTCTTCCCCAGTATATAGCTACTATTACTGCACAGCCTCTCAATACCCGCTGAATGTTTTCTGAATAAAGAGCGCAAATAGACCATGGGAGAAATAAAAGGCATTTGGCAGTGGCAGAAGGTGTAAAGATTAGCCAAAGAGGAAAAACCTGCAGATACTTTTTGTTTTCTGGCATAGGGAGAAGAATGCAGCTGAAAAGACCTCACGTTGGTTCTTTATGAATGAGGATGTCTGGAAAATGTGCATGGAGAATGCAGGGGCGTATGCGTGTTTTCATACTCTTTTTTAGTCTTAGTGTTGAATCTGATATGTTTCCTTGTCATGTGAATAGCTGCAGAACATGAATGTTTACAAATGCTCAAAGGTTATAAGGTTTGTTTGCCTCAAGAGAGAGTGATAAGACTACTGCTTCATGTCAGAAACAAAAGTTTTACATGTTTTTTACATATTGAAAACAGTGGAGTTAATCCAGTGCATTCATATTTATAAGGATTTTATCAAAATAAAAAATTTATTGTAGGAATGTGTCTTGTATTTTGTATTGAAGAGATTCAAGTTTTACAGAGAAGGCTGCGATTTTATGAATACTGCCTGCAGCTCTAGTTTTGGAAAAAATTGTCACCCCCTCATTTGAAGTCTGTCTTTGGGCAGTGCAGTATTAGGTATTTCTTTAGTGTTCCAAGTAATATGTCTTTGGGAATGGTAAGACATGCAATCAATTGTTCATAAAGTTTCTGATAGTGCTTGTTTGAACTATTGACTATTTTTATAGAGTTATGCAAATAAGTTCTAGAAGAAGACATCATTTACAGTAATTCTCCTAATGTGGAGATACTGTGTTCATGTTAGATTGAGCTAGCATAGTACTGCATCTGTGCTGAAACCTAGTGGTGCCATCTGAAAAAGACTAGAAATGCTCAGTTTCCTCAAATCCTGTGGGAACAGCTTTCCATATTATCCATCTGCTGGAACTGTAAAGTGAGAGCATGGACCCAGTCTCAGCACCGAGCACTTGGTTGCATCCTCAGTCACTAACTTACTCTATGTCCAAGCTGTGCTGAGTCTCAACCAGACTATATGACATGGTCCCAGGGAATTAAATCTCCGGTGTGGGCTCTGTGCTGTACTAAGATGACTGTAGGAGCAAACAAGGCTATAATATATCATCAGCCCCCCAGCTGCAGGTCGCTTTGATCAACTCTTTACCCTTTGATACACTTGGAGCCTTTGTACTAAGAAGAATGATAATGCTCAGTGACCAAAAAACATATAGAGTATTTGCTGAAAATAGTAGCTGTCAGGAATTGTATACAGCTGGATGGTTGGTCACCCATAAACTTATTCTCAGAATTAAATGCACTCCCAAGGGCTCTGCTGGTTTTGGCAGGGAAGGGAAGCAATGCGCTCTGTTGTGTTGACAGCTTTTGGCAGACATGCTCATGATGGTTTTCATGTTGCAAAGACAGAGTTCAATGTCAGCTGGGAATTTTCTTTATGTGAAGAAAAAACCTGGGAAGTAGATGTCTTTCCTTCTGGAGTATATTGGGCTGAAGATGAGGCAAACAACTATTTGCTGCCACACACCCCCTTGATACATACTTGTCCTTTGTCTGTCCCTTCAAAGATTTGTCCCTCTGTTGCTTCAGCAAGCAGGACTTTGCTGGACTTTCAGGCATAAACTGGGACCTAAAGGAATTTGAAGAATCAGTTCCAGGAAAACAAAAACAAACAGAAGTCTTCCAAATAATCAATTTCAAAATAAGTTTACTGAAAAAAAAGTGGAATATGTCATATGAATAAAGTAACAGAAAGAAATATGCAAGACATTTTTAATGAACTTATTGGAAAGGAAATTAGGGATTTAGATTCTTGTAGCTTTAGGTAGGCAAGGAGCAGATTGGTAGAGATTAATCTTGCCTAGCCTTCAGATGTTAAAAGTTGCAAATAATGGAGAGACTTAGAGCACCTCTAGACTGCAGTCTCAGCATGAAGGTACAAATGCTAAAGGAATGCTGCTGCAGAGACTGGGTTTCTTTTTTCGTTTATGAACTAGTATAAAAAAGCATCGTGACAATCTCCTTTATCACTCTGCTGATAGTTAGACTACATCTAACTTATGACCTAACTACATTTTGTTTCTGACACTGTCTCATCTTCCTTTGTAGTTTAAGCTGTGGAGTAAAAAGTTTGTTCCATTTTTCTTTTTAATTAGCATTGTTTGCCTATGCTTATTTTTCTTTGATACTTCTTCCCCGGCATCTCTTTGGGACTTAGGATAAATTAACCTTTAAATTATCCTACAAAAATAGTGTTATATTTCCACCAATGTTCTCCACTTACAGATAGCCTGCTTATTTTTCATATTAAGTCTTGCTATATTGTTTGTACAGATCTGGCCTAATAGAGATGTGGTCATTGACTTAATCTCCTAGTGATCTCTCATACCTTTTATTCATTAAATACTTTATGGACAGACAGCCTTCTGAGTTTCTGCTGTCTTTGTGAAACAGGAGGTAATGCTGAAGTGCTTAAACAAAAATGTTTCTAAATTAGTGTTTTGCTTCCTATTTCTGTCAACCTCTCCATCATTCATGCCAAGTACAAGTTTTCAATGTGGTGAACCAATTGCATGTGCGATCTGTGTTGGCTTCTCTGTGCAGCAGAATTTGAGGACAGGGAATGAATGTCAGGAGAGTACTGGATTGTCATGTGAAAACAAAAATTCTCTGCCTCCACTTCACAGAACTGATGTGCTGCACAGTCAGTTCCTGTGTCACTTCTATTTTACCAACTTTCACCCACATACTTGGGTACATAAATCTGAATAATCTGCAGTTGCTCCTGACAGTTTCACTTTTCAGATGTAAATTATACAGGTTGCATGCAACAGATAAACGTGGTTTTATGGAGATCTGTTTTTTTTTTTTCTGAGTCTGATTTGAAAGTATTTTGAATAAAGCATCAGCTGTTTAAATGTCATCAGTTTGCTTCCAGTTCTCTTTTGGACAGTTGGAATAACAGCAGACAGAAATATACCTTCAATAAAATAAATTGTTAAAAAAACCCTAGCACTTCAGCATTTTTGAGGAAAAAAAGGGCCTCAGTCACCCATGGTGTTTTTCAATTTGTTCTTGATTTGTTTTCCCTTTGTCTTGCTTAAACTCCAGCTTAAGTAGTTTGTGATTTCATGAATAGTTTACTTGGAACTCATTAAAAATTTCAGCATCCAAATTTATATTTCAAAATTGTTTTAAAATTCTTGTGGTTATGTAGAAAGCATAGGTATCTATGTATGAATAGTTGAAAGAATGCTGTGTCCCCAGGTCTGCAGATGGCAGCGGCAATCAAAAAATTGCTGAAGGTTAAATATTTGTTGCCTATTTCATTGCAAATAGTTATAAGTAAGAGCAATATCTTATTGTTGCACCAAACTAGATAATACAAAAGTCATGGTACCAAGCTATTCAAAAACATGATGACTTATAGCACAACAGATTCTGGTGAGTACTGTGGACTTGAGCTGACAGTGGACTCCGCCAGCCTCCTGAAGTCTGCAGACAAGGTCCTGTGTGCAGAGATGCTTCAGTTTTGCTGTGTAGATGGTGTCAGTGATAGCTACATTCAATAGGTAGGTATGTGGGTATGCTAAATATATGATGTTGAGCCAATGATACCTCAGCAGAAACTGTCTCCTGAATGTTGGAGATGCCCAGCACTCTTACATGCACCAGTAGATGGTACTGATGATACAAAATATTCTGTTTTGATGCATACTCTGGATATAGATAGATGGATGATTGATTGAGAACAGGGATATTGGGTTTGAAAAAATGACAGACTGAAAGATATTCAATAAACTAAAACATTGAACTGACTGTGAACAACTGCATGATGAGATGTGAAGAAGATGAAGAAAAATGCCAGAGATAGGTGAGAATGAGCACTGAAAAAAAACAGTAGTGAAAAAGGGCCTTTACAGATTGCTTTTGCTGGTACATGTCACTGTAAATAACTCCATAGTCTGGATGTCACCTTCACTCAGACAGTACAGCCCCAGTAATACCCATGGTGTTCCACAATCTGAAGTCTCAGCTTGTGGAAGAAGAGTGTGAATATAACTCATGTATTAAGCATGTGCTGTTGATTGTGACCTACTCCCTTTCTTAAAAGTGAAACAAGAATCATGAAAAAAAAGGGATTACTTGCAGGTACATAACAAATGATGTTCAAATTCAAAAGATTATATTTAGGTGAATCTATGCATTTAAATGTTCCTGTTTTCTGTAAGCAATTACCAACACATAGTTGCCTAAAAGTCATATGGCAGAAACAACCACTACAGGATGAAATAAGTTTTTCCATGTTTTCTTCTAGCTGGCAGTTTCCCCAGGCATTAAAAATAAAGAAAGAGTATCTAAGTTATTTCTGTACAGGGAGCTTGGGCTGTGCATGGTCACATCAGTGCACCACGCAGGATCTGTAGGTCCAGCGTGGTCTGCATTTCCCTAAGCATGTTGAAAGCCTTTGGGCAGAGCATGAACAGCAGATCATACTGTGCTGATGCCTGAAAGTTCTGGGAGCAAGCTTCCTGCAAGGACAAATTCATATATGCAGTAAATACTAACAAGTTTAGGTGATCATCACTGAGCTTTTTTTTTTGAAAGGGAATAGTAAAGATTCATAGAGAAAATCTGACCAGTTCTTTGAAACCAGATTCTGCTTCAGTTTTCTGACTGATCCAGATGAATGGTGGTGCTTGCTTCAGCTGTGGCACCACTCCAGCCTCACTTTCTGTGTGAGGTTCTAGAAAGCTTTTGCCTTCTTTGCTCTCAGTTATGAGATACCTAAATACCGCTGCTGGGATTCAAGGCAGGCATCTTGGTTCAGTCACTGTAAATGTGTTAACTGGAAAAAAGATCTTTGTGATTACAGAAAAGATGGGAATTGTAACTATGGACAGGAAAATGCACTACCAAAATGTCCTTCTCTGTTTGGCCTGCTCTTTTTTTTTTTTTTTTTTTTTTTTTATTTATTGGATAGCTGTCATTTTTACTGGATTTCACCTTCTGTGTCAGTTTAGAGGACACATACAACCTACATCGCCCCCAACTCTGGGTTATGACAATCAGGAAATAATCTAGTAATCTAACCCTGCAGCATGGCCATCTAATAGCAGAGTGGGAACACCCAGGATATCAGAGCTGAACAGCACGTGGGTATACACACTCCTTAGGTGTGATATTGCTTAAATAATGCAGAAGTTCTCATGACTGTGCTTCATTCTTCCTTAGTGACTGGCATGGGTGTGTTTCATCATGACATTGTGTTCAGGGGTGTTCACAGAGACACTTTCACTAAGTTCCTACTAAAGTGGGTTGAGATTTAAAAAAGAAAGATTGAAATAAAGAATATTCTCTTGCATCTTGCATCCAGTAGTTCATGCAAATGGAAAACGTAACTGAGTGAACTGCTTTGTATTGTAATAGTGAAAGCTCTATTTTGTTTTCTGAAAAGTATGTGTTGCTGGTTAGATGTGCTTTACATGTTTATATATCTGTACTGGACTTCTTTTCTCTTGTGTCTTAAAGCTAGATTCAGCCTTTTCAGAGTCAGTAGTCATCCCAGTCTGGATACTGGGTGAAGTATTAAGCATGCAGGCCTTTGAATGCTAAGATGTGCTTCACTTGCAGTACTTAGTATTCTTGCGTTGCTAGGCACTGTACAAACATTAGCTAATGCTTCCTACTGGCACTAGGAGCTACCTTTCCCATTTGGCAAGGAAAACACTACCCATCCAAGGTATAAAACCACTAACCGAATCAATGGCTAGATAGTTAAAAAGAAATAGTGTAGCTACATACCATTTTATTTTCTGAGTTTATGGAGAGGCATGATATCACACCACAATGTAAGCACTACCCAGTTATAGCAGTGAAGAGTTCATGTCAAAAAACAGTGTAGCTGTTTCAAAGCCTGCCCATCAAGGCACTTGGAGAGGTAACACGGAACCCTCAGGTTGAGTGGGAAAAAGTCACCTACTTCTTGAATGAGTGTATTAACTCACAATGTTGGGGAGCTTCCACCTGAACATGTCCGAGTCCTGTCCCTCTCTGGCTGCTGGTATGGGCACAGCATGTGTGTGCCAGAAGTGCCAGAAGTGTCATGTGCAGCAAAGGGACCCAGGGCTTCACCAGCACCACTCTCTTTTCTGAATTCCACTGGAGTGGCTGTGTGACACCTTGTCCCCAGTCTGGTCACTTAAGTCTCCATAAGCTGGCTGCTGTGTGGGCACCACTGCACGTGGGATTCCTGAACAGCAGTGGTATTTAAATGTCTTATAAATGAGAAAGCCAGGCTGTCATCTGCTTTCTGGAGTTCTCTACTGAATTTAGCCACTGGCGTTCATCCTAAGCTTCATTATAGGCGCCAAAATGCATCTTCTGTATCCTATTCTGTATCTTGTCCCTCTCCTCATTTGCAAACCAGGTGCATTAATGCTTATTCTATTCATTAACCTGTTGTCTTTCAGCAGAAGTTGAAGATGTGACTTTTGTGTCACAGAAACCAGCACATAAGCAAATGCTGATTTAATTAAAGAAGCAGCCACTGTCTTTGTTAGGTATGTGGTCAAACTAGAACTAACTCATCTTGCGGTCAAAGCCAGGAGTGTGCAAGTAAGATTAAGAAGGATAGGAGCAATTAGAAATTGAGCTCCTTCTTTCTCTATGAAGAAAGAGGGTGCTTCTGGTTTGCAGCCTGGAAAACTGGATGTGTAGGAGTTGACTTTAGGCCTTGAATGGGTAACGTCTGTCTCAGGGAGAGCAGTGGAAGGTGGTTTTGGAAAGCTGTGTTTTAATGGCAGGGTTTGCTCTGGGGGACTGAGCCACCTCTAGCATAGGAGCCCTGCACAGAAGCTGTTCTCTTCCCAGCTTAGCTCACCTTTCTTTGTGGCTTTGCAGTTGTCATGACACATAACTATGTCCCTGCATGCTTACAGATCTACAGAAGAACATGAATACGAATGTTTGTCATAGTCTTGAACACAATTAGGTTTAATACATACTCCTTTATACTTGCAGTATGGTTCTGTTGAACCAATTATTTGAATTCAGTCTATGCTCTTTCCACAACTTGCCTAACTTGCTGTAGTATCACAGAAATGAGATTTCAGAAACAGGTCTAGAGCTGATCTCCTGTATGTAAGTGTCTGGTCTTGCGAGTGCTTGAGCCAAATACCTGTTCTCTGACTCCCTCTCATCAATTAGATATGCTCAAATGAGTTAAAATGTCACTTGAAGAAAGAAATATGCATACAACAAATACTTGGAAGCAAGGCTAAATGATAACAGGATAGGTCAGCAATGTTCATACTAGGGAAACCTAGGAGTCCAGAAGCAGAATACAATGACCGAAATAGGAAATAATTCCATAGGTCTTGGCAGAGCTTTCCTTTGCAATAATTATCTAAAACTGTCCGGAGGCTTTCCCTGGAGCCTTTCTCTCCTTTACCCAATGACAAAAGAACCTGTGTTACAAACTTTGCTGTGGGATATGTCACAGAAATGCAAACTGAAGCATTGTTAGCTCACAGCCTTGTAAAATCCTGCCCAATGTTAATCCTACAATACTTGTTCATGGGCTGAAAGCACCCTGAATAGTTGAAGTGTGACCATTTAAGACATTCCTCTGGCATATGTGCATTTTCAGACAGAAACAATGGCTCCATTGGACCATGCCTCCAAAGTATGTTGCCATTGCAGAAACGACCACGCTTCACAACGGTGTGAATCAATGGAAGACCACACATTCTGGTGAGGGAAGGAGGGGGATGTGCAGATCTGGTGTCCCTCAGAGGAAGTCCAATCGCTTGTACAGAAGCACTGTGGGTGTCCCCCTCCTTGCTCTTCCTCACAGGGGACCTCCAGATAAACGGGGGTGGCCTAGTGTCAGTTGCTGACAGCTTTTTGTGTCACTGCTATCAAATCTGTCCTAACACATTTTTCAAGGGTAAATCTAAATGTTTCCTGACAGCACATTGTTGGTGTGCCAAGGGCTAGTGTCTCCTTATCGTGAGGAAGCAGTTCAGCTTTCAAGGTGCAGCCCAGATGACCAGATTGCTCTGTCCCTCAGCTCTCTCCTGATTAACACCCCTCCAGCCAAAGGAGCACGTTTACAGCAGGGTAGGAGAGGGAATGTTCAGAGGTACCATCCATAAAAGTATTTGCAGGGCATGACTTGGTCTTTTATATTGATTCATGTTTCTGCATTGCTCTGGTAATCAAATTTCCCAGGTAGAGATGAGGTTTTATTGCATTAGATTTTGTTATTCCAAACTATTTTTTCAATCTCATTCAGCTTCATTCAGTCTTTCAGCCTCATTCACTGCTTTATCCTGTCCAACTTCAGTCAGCAGACAGTTTGCTAAAGATTTCAGTCACAATAAGAGCAGGCCAGATCACCACCACATATCAAATCTGTGGTGTCTCAAAAAAACACGTCCTCGTGCCTCCAGGATTCCTGTGCACAGCTGGTGAGTTTGGACAAAAAGGTCAAAAATGCTGCTTAGGACAGTCTTACCTGATGCTGACAAGGTCAGTGCTCATCTATGCAGGGGTAAACCTGGCTCAGCCGGGCCCTGATGCAGGCCAAGCAGAGCAGAGCTGCAGGCCCGTCCCCTGGCCATGCTGTGCAGCAGCATTCTGTCAGACACACGCTTTGCCCCTGCCCTGCTGTATCTGGTTACTGAGGCGTCACCCCAGCAGCTGTCATCCCACATGCCAAGAGCCACCAGGCATGCGACATTCTTGGTGCCCCTCAGCCACCCTCGGGCTTCTTTTGTTTGGGTGGCATAGATTTAAGCTCCTGAGGAGTGGTAAGCGTTGTTCCAAGGGTATGTGAAGAATAAAGCCAATTCCCCCTGAGGGTGGGAAGTGAGAGGAAAGCTTGGGGCTTTCCACAGCTCACAAATTTCCACCCTGGATTGTATGTGTGTATATTTATGAGAAAATTAAGCAGAGGCTACACATTGCCCAATACAACAAACATCAGGGATAAGATATTCCAGCCTCTCGATTTCACAGATTCATGCAAATACAAGCAGTATCTCTCCACAGACAAACCAGGAAGTGAACGTAATGGCTATCTAGAAGGGGTCATCAGGTGTCGATAGCTTGGTGGTGAGGGAAGTGCTCGTTTCAGGCTGCAGGATCAGAACGTGCTGCTGCTGTCACTGCTTCCAAAACAGCACATTCGGGCACCATGGCCTCAGCAGGCCAGCACCCTGCAGTAGCACCACCCTTTGCTTGTCGGCTGGAAGCCACTGGGACTCCTTAGGGATGAAGGGCACTCAGTCTCTTGTGGGAGCAGGAGCCTCATTGTCACTCAGGCTCACTTAGCACCCTTCTGAGAGGAACTTTACGCCTTTGGCTGACTTAGTGCTGCAATGCACTTAAAGACATTAGTCACAGTACACTGTGCTGGTGTGAACGCAATCCCACAGATGTCTTTTTCTTATACTGATTAAACTGACTTGGCTCCAGCTACACTAAGGCGAAATGTGTGGCACAATATAGCTTTTTTATTTAAATGCTTTTATGGTGTGATCTCTTTGTTACCTCAGAGCATTGCAAAGGATTTAATGGCTTCAGCAGTCAAAAAATAAATGCATTTTATTTAAGCTCTGTGCTAGTGCAGAAAATCTTGAGTAAGGCATGCAAGGAAGGAAGAATGCATTACTGTGCAGCAGTACACCATTAATCCTTGTGCCTGTTTTTCAGCAACCTTTTCCTTTTCCTTGGTTGTCATAATCAGGTCCATTTGATTTCCACAGTTGTTCCGACTTGATGTTTTCACTTGTATTTTACTGAAGTAATTTTCTGAAGGAGTTGCACAAAAAAGCAGCAGGTGAAATAATTTATGTTGGAGAAGAACTTGAAAAAAACGGTAGATCCAGGTGCCCACTCTCTGTCATCCTTATGCACATCCGCAAAAGCCTCCAACTGGTTGAACCCACAGCTGGGCAGCTCAGTCCCACCCTCAATCTGAGAAATTACAAGATATAGCTCAGGACACTTGTTACAAAGCTCTGTAAAGAGACTTTGAATGAAACAGCTCTGTATAGGCAGCTGTTGTTATGCCTAACAGATTTGTTCCTATTTCTTAAATATGTGCCTGTTGTGATCTCTTTGTGAAGTTAAATTTTTTCACTGCCATCACAAGGAAGATGCCTCTTCTGAAACCTGTCAAACTGATACAGCAGTGTCTGTTCTCACTTTTCCCATGAGCACCATCAGATTTTGCTTCTGGAGAACCAAGAGGAATGAAAATTATTATTTTCCTGATCACAGCTGCATCCATGATGCAGCTGTTGCACCAAGACAGAGACAAGCGGTGTGGTTTCAGGATCACTCATTAAGAAGGTATCAGTTACCTGAGAGAATTATTTGCCTCTTTGTAATCCTTTTTGTGAATTTATGAAGAGAAGGAAGCATTTTGCTAGCTTGGCTTAATACAGTAATAGGAATAGGTATTGCTGATGAGGATGACAGGAGTTTCTGACTAAATGTTGATTTGTCTGCTTTTTGATTATCACAGAAGTGGAGACTGATTTTGAGTACTGAGCTCCTCATTCCTATGTTCATGGGGTAACTCCCATTTTGTTTATGATTTTGCATCAGGGAATGATATTAAGAAAAGAAGCTTTTCTGACAAAAGGAAGACTCTTGTTCATAAAGGTGGAAGTCTCAAACTAAGCTGAAGTATTACATTTTAGCTGCTGCTTATGCTTACTCTTCTGCACTTTCAATTAACAATTTTTCCTTTAGTTCCAAGCTAGTAGAATAAGACCAAATGACCTCCCCTTTTTTCCCCCGGTACACTGCTTGTGATATCTCAAAACCTATTAAATACAGAAAGCTATCTATAAATGTGACACCTGTATGGAACAGAGTCGATAAAGGTCTTGGAATGATTTTATTGTGTTTCTTACAAAGGCATTGCACAGAGTTAAGTTAGAGTCTTGACTTCTGTTATTGTGTTTAACAGGCTAATGGCACAAGGCAGCAAAAGTGCACTAGCCAATGAGGTATAAGATGATTTGATTTGGGCAAGTAATTAGTTATTCATTTCACATGTTGCTGGATACACACACTGGTTAGCTAAAAAGGAGGACTGACTGCAGCAGCGGTGGTATTCTGCATTTAAAGCAGTTTGGCTTTTGGATATGTTGGGAACATGGATTTGAAAATTTATAGGAAATGTGAGGAACTGTGAATGTTTACAGTGCTTCTTTTACTGGAAAGTCCCAGGCATGCAAATGTTAAAGGAGAAACTATATCTGTAGAAACAAATACTGCAAGCACCAAACAGATAATGGTCGCATAATTTAATGAAGGTACTTCATAATTTCAGTCAAATAACATTTAAATTACATAATGAGGTCAACTAGAATCCTAATTCCTGCTCTAATGCTTTATGTTTTTTCTATAGAAGTTGGTTATCTTCTTCAGACCTTTGCCACTGCTCTATGACATAATTCAGTTGCCACTGCTGAGGTCATTTGCAGAGTATTCCTCTGCTTGAGAAATAGTGAGATTGGTGCCATAAGTATTATGGCTAGACCAAGGTGCTTTATTTTTTTCATGGACATATGTCTAAGAATTCTTTATTAGATCTACAGATGAAATAAAACAGCAATTATCACACAATTTCTTATAAAACACTGGTAGCATAGCTCTAATACAAGTGTTTCTTTTCAAAGTGTTTTCTTTATTAATTTAATTGGGAATATATCAGCTAAACTAGAAAAAGAAACCGTTTTTATTAGCCACATCGACAATAACCCATTAGTAATTGCTATTAGCAGCAGAAATTTAATTGAAAAAAAAAAAACAACAGACATCTCATAGAGTTGCATAAACTCCTTGTGGAAAGCTGAATACTGATTAATTTCACTCTGAACAATTACTTTGCTTCTTATGAACACAATTTACTTAGTACATCAGAAGGAATGAGAAGACTAATTAAAAACTTTAAAGTACATTTCATTGTTAAAATTCACTGTTAAAATGAATTTGCCTACCACAAAATAAATATAGATTAATTCTGGTAAAAGCACTAGCCAAATACCATAGTGAATTACAATGGCTTCTGGCAGGACAGGAAAATTGCAGCTAAGAACACATAGAAACATAGAGTTATAGAATGGTTTGGGTTGGAAGCGACCTTAAAAATCATCTTGTTCCAAACCCCCTGCCATAGGCAGGGACACGTTCCACTAGACTGTGATGAAGACCCCGTCCAAAGAGCTGATAGCTGTCTACATGGTGGAGCACCAACAATACAAATATCTTATGGGATCCCACTAACTTATGCCCAGGATCATGCTTTCAGCTCCCACACCCCAACAGCCTCCTTCAGCTGCATTCTTCTGAGGTGTTCAAAAGGCAGATGAGAGACTGCTTATAATTCAATTTAGCTACCTTATATATTATCATGATTAGGCTGTGATGATGTTTATCTTAGTCTTTACTGAATCCAAGGCCTTCAAAACAGCCTTCATGTTTTCCTTGCATAAGCCAATCTGTAAATAAGAAAATCCTAAGTACGTAGCAATAGTTTTTTTCTAACAGAATTGAGAATAACAATATGCTTTATAAATGCTGATTACTTTAGCTTTGCAAACCCTCTGAGACAAAATTTAGGACTTTTGAGGAAATAACAGGAAGTTTTGCTTCTGCTTGGCAGACTAATGCCATCAGCAGTGCAAAACCAGTCTGTCGTTCAGAAGTATATGGTTGCCTTGATCATATGTTCTTATCCTTAAAATTCACTTTGAAAGCATTCAAAGAGATGGTTTTGCTGTTTTTGAGGTTTTGCTTTGTTGTTTTGTTTTTTTTTTTCCTGTCTCAGTTGATTTTGACAGATACGTGCATGGGTTCTAGATTTCTTGGCTTTCTGATTTAGAATTTTCTGATTATCAGACAATAATAGCACATGCAATTCAAAACTACTTTCTGTGAAAGTTCACGTTGCTCTAAGTGGACTGGAAAGCAAACACAAAAGGTGGGAGCTCATGAAATGGGTATTCGGGTAAAAATATCAGTGTAGAAGCATGGGAAAAGTTGTCAATATGGGCTAAATCAGGATAAGAGACAGTAATGTCCACTGATTTAACTGAAAGGCCTGTTTTTCCTAGTCCTCATCACTGACTGCAGTATTGCTAAGGAAAGGGAAGAGCAATGTGTTTTCAGTATGTCAGTAACTGCCCTTCAGGACAAGTGACAACTGCCAAGCCATCCAGCTTGCTGGAAACCTCAGCTGCATTTGAATACTTGTCTTCATTCCAGAGAGTGAAATAAAGCTAAAAGGCAATTTACAGGATCATTTTTGCTGGTCCTATTACACAGAAATGCCACAATTAGAGTAAAACAGAAACACCACTCTGCACTCTTAGGGTCAGACTGTGAAACCGAGACCATGCTTGTGAACGAACGCCTGCAGATTTATGGTGTTTAGCTGAATTGCCCTGGCCTTGTCAGGACTCGCATCCAGGCTTCACCTTGGGGTAGGCAGAACTGCATGTATTCCTGAAAGCAATTCAGCGGTAAGAACACAGAGATGTGGAAAAACACAGCTTCAAAGGGACATGTATTTTTCTCAACTTTATTGTTAACAGTTTCCTGTGCATGCCTTTAATTCCATGTCTTTAAAAATGTAATGCATTAAACAGCATTTAATGTGGTTTTGCACTTTGTTACACATGGTGCAATATTTGTTCACAATAGTCCCATTCACTGAAAAAGATTGATTGTATGGCAATGAACGCCATGGCTGTGGATGGTTTGTATTCAAAATAGATCTTTCAATAAGCATTCAAGAGTATTTGCTTTTATAGAGTTTTAAGGAAGTTTGTTCAGCCTAGTATGTTGCATATTATGTCTTGAACTATTTTTTTTTGTGTGTGAAATATAAAATTCCAAAACTTACAGAACATGGAAATCATAATAATTTCTTTAAATGCCTTCTCATCTATGAATATGCTTGGCAGTTCCTTACTGACTATGTAATTCTATGGCAGTAGTCTAGTCCTGGATTATTTGTATAATGTTACAGCAATATGGCCACAAAAAATATCAATACATCTTAAAATACAGGCAGAAGATTCTAAAATACAGAAACAGAACACGGAAATAATCATGTAATGCACATAATCTTAAAATTCTGATTTAAATCGGGGGGGTTAATTTCTGCTATTTTTTTAAAGCTGAATTGCTTTTCAACTCAATATCTGTACTGTTTCATATATTTTAAACGATTGATTCAAAGCAAACTAATAAACAATCATGTGCTGCTTAAACACAACTTAAGTGCACTATCTCTTTACAGCAGAAAGCAATTCTAAAGGGACACCCCTTCCTTATCTTGGCTGCATCAAATGAGATAGCTTTAGCACTCTCAATAGTGGAAAATTTCTTATTAGGAACACACTTCTGTCTCTGTTTCTAATGCCTAAATTAAAAATCCATCTCATTAGTTTGTCATGTTGTAATGTTCCTAAAATCTAGAAAGCTGCCAAAGATAACAGTACATGGATTGAACATGAATTGGTTTTTGGTGTGTTGATCACTATTAGCAGGACACTAAGCCACAGGAAAGCAAATAAAAGCTGTTACTTTGGAGGTGGGTTTTAATTTTTGTAAACCAGACCTTGCTTTGTTATCTGAAGTCATTTAATGTACTTGACAGCTGTTGATGCCCTCGCTATTTATATTTTTACCTCTTTTTCTTTGTGAATTTCTTCTGGGTTCCTTTCTTATTTGCTGATTTTGAAAATCCAGGGAAAAAAAAACACCTTACAATAATCATCATGCCTGTAGCTTGTAGCTCCAGCTACAAATATAGTGTGCTAAGTGATGAAACTCTCTAAAAAGCAGCTGATTTAGTTTTAAGCTGAATGTACTTTTGCAGCTGACATTTTAACATCTAGCAGGTGCTACTTACTTTTATACCTGCACATTCCAGATCTATTTCATTATTTAAGAACTATTTCAAGTATCTCAATTCAGAATAATAAGTACTGATTACAAACCCTAATTTGTTTCTTCAACTTTGCACATGCATAAATGGAATTGCTTTTGCACAATAAAATAATTATCAATCAATCAAAGCTATCCACATATGCTTTTTTAATTTTTTTTTCCTTTTTGCCTGGGGTGATGTATGTGACCCGACTGAAAACTTGGCTTTGACATTTTTCCATTGACTGTACCTCTCAGGCATATATCCTTCCATCCACTGTGTGCTCTGATCCTTGCTCTTCAGTTTGGCCTTTGGAATGAAACTGCCTCAATCTCCATATTTCAAGGAGAGGTCCACCACTCAGCTCTGCAAATACATGATGTATGGTACAAAAAATTAAATCAGTAATGTCTTCCTGACAAGCAAGGTATAGATTTTAAAGATTTTTTAACTTGCAAGCCATTTTCTCCATGTTTACATGTTAACATATCTTGATATTAGATTATTTTTGAACATCTGGAAGAAAAACAAAACAAAACAAAACATAACAAAGAAAAACCTCAACACAACAGTTTATGCAGTTAAGCCAAAGTTATTGAAAGTTTTAATTCTAGGTATGTATATAAGTGCATTAATATTAGTGAATCTGCATGTCTCCTTGATACAGTTCCAAAATTCAGGTGAAATACCCGTGAATACACCTACTTCAGAGGGAAAACAAAAGGAAAAATAATGCAGAAAACCAGCAGTTTGCCAAAAACAGTAATTGGATTTTAATTACTGCAGAACAAACAGTCCTACCTCATGGAATTCACTTCTCACTAAAATTTATTTATGACAGTATTTTAAGGTCTCTTTCTTCACAGAAGTAACAGCTACAGGTACTTGATGCTTTCTGAATTTAGATTATGAGATACCACAGGTGTACTCGGATGTTATTGGCACTGTTTGTTGTCCATTATCATTATTTCCTTGCTTACAAGAACACAAATAGGTATTGTTTCCCACCTGTAACTGTTCACAATGCTTAGAAATACATTCCTGAAGTTCTTGCAGCACATGCAGTATTACACACCAAGAAATCTCTTCTTTTGCTGTCAAGGTAATAAAGAAAAAAAACGAGTCCAGAATGATTTCATATGGGGTTATACTTTTACAGATGCATAAATCTCCCACCACACGTTGATAACAAAATAAAAAGCGCAATTGAGTAACTGCTTAGAAACCTTCCTCTTACCTTCTACTCCCCAAATCAGTGATTATCCTGATGATTTCCTACTGGGAAACTGGCAGTCCTTTTGCCGATAGTCCTAATTTTAAAGAACATAATCTCGTGTGACACTTAATGTGTATTGCCAACTAGTATAACAAAGTTAGCAAGCATATCCTAATCTATGTAAATACTGCTTAAAGGCAGTTAGTAGTTTTCTATATAAATTGGAGAAAAAGAGAATGAAAAAAATAATTTCTCACATCCCCTCTCCAGATCCACTTTTTACTAATCTGATTGATTGTCCTTATCCTCAAATTCCAGATGGAATGAATGTCCAACATCTACAATCTTTTTGCATGTGGAAAGTTTCCAAGTGATCCAGAAGAGCCCCAGAGATACACATTTTTTTACTTCCTTGGGTTTTATATGAGATTGATAGTCTCTGCTGGCAATAGGGTATAACTTGTGCCAGTGGTCAGGTCCCAGGCAAATAAATAAATGATCAAAGTTTCCTACTTCTAATTCTGTACCAATACTGAATTCATGACAGTTTCCCTTAGAACCAATTGTATACATTATACAGATACTTGATATGCTAATAATCCGTGTAATTCTGGAGAATTTTTATAAGGAAAGGAAATAAATATTCAATATATGTAAATAAATCTGATCTATTAAAGATAGTTTTTACTATTGTTCCTTCAATAACTCCAGTTCAAATTTGACACCTTTTTTCTCCTTGCAAGGTACTGTCTTCTTTTAAAGAAAATGATAGTCCTGATAAAAGGTGTTAAGATGTCTGCTTTGATTTTCTTCTGAATGTCTAACTTACTTATGCCTGGGCTTTCATAGGCCTGCTTAAACAGTAATATTTCCTAACCAACCTTTATTGATTTCATATGATTTCAGAATGGTATGAGTAACTGTGATAAGAGAAAGGATTGTAATAAGGAAACAGTGTGGCTTGCAATGTATTTACTTTTTGTTTCAGTACGTATATTGACACAGATATGATTTAGATGCCAAGTTAAAATATACTTCATTATAACTATTCAAATGCTATCAAAAGACCTTTACATTAAATCTTCACAATCCAAAGGATAATTACAGTATGAAAGTGCAGACCACAGAGAAAACAATGAATGCTCAGCCTTTTTGAAAATCCATGTCAATGATTAAAGACATCTACATATGGATTTTATAATGTTAACTTTTAATATCTCTAATAAATATGTGGTCTCAGTAGCTTTTATTGGGGGAAAACAAATAACAACGTTCGTGTGCAACAAAATGGTCAATATATTATTAAATAATTACATTAATATGACTAACAATGCTCTCATTAATAAAAGAGAACATTTGAGGCCTACTAAGTGCTACCAGCTTCAGATGTTTTGGAAATGATCTCAAGCCATTCTTGTACTGCTGGGAATCTTCAAGACAATCTTCTTGGGGACTGATACCTGATTAAGTTCATGACTGAAGTCCAACTTCCAAAGCAGGTTCTATCTCGTACTTCAAGAATACACACAATCAGCTGTTTCTTCAGTAATAAGACACCATGCCCTGACTCTCTGTTTTAAAGCTAAATTCTACTAACACATATGGGATTTTGCTTGGCTTAAACTCTGTCTCAGATGTGCTGAAAAGCAGGATTTTATTTTTAGGACCTTATGATTGACAAGTACGGTAGCACAGTTAAATAGTTGTGGTATTATCTATATTTGTAACCATTTGAACAGAGTGCATGGAGTAATTATTTCTATATAAAATAAGGTTTATCATAGACTATGTAGGCATTGCCTTGTCATCCTGAGTTGCAAAAATGGAACCTGTTGACATTTTCCTGTTTTTCTTGCAGACTATTCTCAGTAATAGGAAACAACTGATATCTGCTCTTGCAGATGTCTGCAGCCGACGTCAGGAATTTCAGATACCATTGTGCAAGTAATGGTATAATCTGTAAAATAGGATGCCTGGGAGTATGACAGCTTTTAGGTGTGTCTCAGTTATAGGTGGATTGCAATATTCTGTTGATTTTTTTGTTGCTCAGAAATTATGTTTTATCAGAATTGAAAAGTTCAAGGGAAAATTACCACCACCAACTTCTGTTGAAAGAAAGACAGCTTCACCTGCTTAGTCCCTGATCAATTTACTAGTCAGATTACTAAAATGGTATCAGTGTTTCACTACATCATGAAATTTCTCCTGGAAGTGAAGGGTGCACAATTTATGGTCCTTGGGCAAATTTCCTGTGCAAATTACGTGAGAAATTAAGATCGAAAAACAAGTAGATCAGCTGGAAATACTAGGTTTGCTGGACCTGGCCTGCTGTTAACTTCCAGTTCTTCAGCAGGGAGTCTGAAGATCTCAGGAACCCTTCCAGGATCTTCCAGCAACCCTTCAGCACCTTGTTGGGGTAAGGGGAACTGCGAGCCTGACGCTGTCCTGGCTGCTACGGTCTGGAATTGCTGCGATAAATTACTCCCATGTTTAGACTTGCAACAGACTTGGGTTGGTATCAGTGACTGTGTTTTGAGGCTTCAGAAAGCAAACCTGACACCAGACGCTAAAAAAATTCAATCCACTGCTCTGGAGAACTGCGTCATAGAGCAGGCAACCCAGGAGCACCCAAAAATGCTACTTTCATCCCAGGCACTCAGGACTTGCAGACTCTCTCCTGCTGCATGAGAAGATTTGGGATTTAAGTCCAAGCTACAAGGTTATTAGGGACATGTAAACCTCCCAACCTCCTGCCTGTCCCCTAGGACAGTTAGGAGTCCTGGAGGGACAGGCAGGCCTCGTACATTGGGAAAAAGATATTCATGGCTCAAAAGTTTTTCACTTTAAGGATCAGAACACTTTCAAACATATTTGGGGAGGGATTTAGCAAGCATCAGTAAAATGTATAAATTCTTTAAAGAACTGTCCTGAAACAGATTGTGTTTCTTCCAGAAGAGAAACTTTTGACCAGATTTGATGTCAATTATCATCATTGCTTTGGAATAATGTAGGATAAATTCCTTCATTCCTATGAGAGTCACAGCACCAAATCCTCTGCAGTTGTTCACAATCACAGCAGAGTGAAAGAGCCAGAGATTCCTCAGTTCCTTGTCTGATCAGTCATCTGTAGGCAGCGTTGGTCACTGTGAGTTATATAGATAATATCAAAAACCTTCTGTCAGGTTCTGTCAGAACTATTGGCTGGACCACTAAAAAACCCCCAAGTGACTAGTTAGGAGTAATCCACAGAGATCTGAAATTGTGTTTATGGTCTGAGTGAAACAGAGGGTGCATTCCAGCATGATACGGGGACAAAATAATATGAAGAAAGTCAGTGACAAAAATACAGAAGAGTGGGACAAGATAATTTTGAATGTTCTAACAAAGAAGGGAATCAAATTTTAGGAATAACAGGCAAAGGAAATATAAATCTTAACTTGTTATACAGATGCAATGGGAATATAATGTGGAAAAATGTCCACAGTATCTTTTGCTTGATCAGATAATCAATGTCAATTTTCTGACTATGAAAGATATTCTTTCTGCACAAGGTGAGCATGGCAGAGTGTCAGGAAAATGATCTCTTGGAAGAGGAGCCAAGATTTTAGAATTGTGACCTTTTTACTGTCTCATCAACCAGGCTTTAGAGTAATTCTAGACCTCCAACTAAAATGCAGCAGACAGTGTGTGACTGACACAACAACTGGTTTGCTTCTTGAAACCCAACACAAGTGGCTTATGATTTCTCCCATTACACCCTTTTATACCTCCTGAAGTTTCAGCTTTTAACTATGACCCTATTACTATTGCTAAAATACTTAATTACTAGTATTTCTTAATTAAAGTACAAGCTGTTCTTACAATTTTAAATTAAAGCCTGTCAAAAACAATTTTTTTTTTTTTCTGTGTGAATGTAGAGAGTAAGATTAATGTTACAAAGGAGCTCTTGAGCTCACGAAGAGATCATGAATCAGGATTCAAAGGAAAAGAATCCAGTATTTCTTTTAATAGATTTACCACACATTTTAATTCTTGAAGTTACAATGTGGCTGTATCATCAGCTTTTCTGCAGATGACAAAGAAATTAGCTTTGACTTTAAACAAAGTCCCAGGAACTAAGGTGATGCAACTTAGGAATTGTGGCTCATACCTTACCACTTGTTGCACAGCACTTGCCATTTGGGTGACTTCTTTCAGTTCCCTCTCCTATCCGACAATATGATAGACAATATGATTCAAAGCACTTTATAACTATTTCTATGGCTGTCGTGCATTCCTCCAGTGTACTTGTAGTCCAGCCATTCTTATGTTATACAAATGCTCTAGAATTGTGGGACTAAATTATAAGACAGCAACCACAAAAAACGTCCCAGCAGCACAGGCAGCTGAAGATCATGGATGGTTAATAAGCTGTATTCCATCAACCGCTAACTACTGCATCCACACTTTAGGCTATCCACACTCTGCAGGGAAAATGTTAGCACCTTTCCAGGAAACCGGGATGAAAGAAATGTGATATCCTTGGCAAAACCTTCAAAGTATAAATAGAAGTGGATCCCTGGCTTTGCAGATGAGTGTGGGCAAAGTTTTGATGTCTATAGCTCTACACCTGTAAACCACTATAGATGTTTCTAACTTTCTGCATAGCAGGACACCTAATGATCTTATTTGCAAGTATGAAATTAAAAGTGAACATCGTATAGGAATGAATGTAAAAAGTCTTATTTTAAGGACACCGGACAGAAAGAAACCAGACCAAAACAAAACAAAACAAAGCAGAACACAAAAAAACTCTTTCGAAAAATGTTAAATTACAAGAATATTCAGAGGACTTTGTTTGCATTTTTAACTGCCAAATACTGTGTACCTTGATGATTAATTGATTTGTGAAAAAATCCTACAAAAAGTTTATAAAATATTTCACTAGGTCTCATAGTGATCCTACTTAGGTGATGTTTACAAAGAATTAAGATATTGTTATTTGTAATGCTCTGGTCAAAATTAAATAAACTGTATTACATAATCTTCCCTTATAGCTATTGTAAATAAATTAGTGGAAGGAAATTGCAAAGTTATGAAAGTTTTGGATTGAGCTAGAAGGAGGATGCTTCCATGCTATCAGGCATTGCTTGGTCTGAGGAAGCTCTGTCTATTCTTGTGAAAAGTATTGCATAGCATGCAAGAGATAAGGATTTAAAAATAAAATAAGACATAGTAAATATTGGCCTGTGGCATAAAGGTGGGAGATAACAGGACCCCAATGGTTGTGAACAAGGTATTTTCTCGTGTTACCTTTCTCCTGCTTTCTGCACCAGGCTTTGCTAATGGGAAAGATACAGTTTACTTTTGTCTATGCACGGCTGGTTATTGTGGATAAGATAAAACCTGACCTCTCTTTGTGAGGGAAAAAGTGTCAGCTTAACTGTGGAGTTTTATCTGCTACAGGATATAGTTTTAGTTTTTAATACTAACTAGGCATTTATTTTAAGTAGTGAAAGATAAAAGATTTCTTTACTCCTATTTGTTGACAGACCTATAAATTATGAAACTGTCTGTCCTGTAACTCCCTATCCCAGTTATGAGGACAGCCAAAGTCTGAAGCAAGGAAAAAAAATGTGTCCAGCTAATGAAGTATGCATAATCTTTTCCTGTATCAAGTGTTAAGTGAGCTTATGTAATCCATATTTTCTAGTAAATGTCATCAAAACTTTATAAATGTCATTATGCAACTCGGATTCAGGGAATATATTGAATGGCGACTGATACATACAGATATCAGAACAGATTTATAGGTGGACATTGCATGGTGATAAATAAAAAATTGATTATTTGCAGTTATATTGGCACAGCATTAAACAAGCTGTGTCAGAAGTGATGGGTAGTCCTATGTTTGATTCTTTCATTTTAATTCTGTACCTTAATATGTAAGGAGCATACCTAGCTGCAACAGACTTAATGGGTTTTTCAGATACAACATATGAAAGAGAAAGACAGACTGCTATAATGGTATATTTTACTTGCTCTACATTAGGGGGTTTCAGTTCTTTGATTTCCAGATGCTTAAACATTTACCAACAAAGAGAAAATCAAAGCCTACTGAAAGCAAGTTTGCTGTTAATTGCCTTTCACCTTGAAAAGAATCCACAGACTCCAGAGTTTGGGGCCAGAAGTTGAAAATCACATTTGTGTGCCATAAGACTGCTGGAAATTGTTACCGGAATGAGGTAACAGCCTGAGGATTTGGTTGGACCCTTTAATTGAAGCTGCTAATCAGTTTGAATACAGCTTCGCCAAGTATTACTCCTAGTGCTTCTGAATAAATTCAGACTGTACGTAAGGAGCAGATGTTTGCCAAAGGTAACCAAACATACACAATTTTTGGAGTTGTGTACAAAATAGTATGTAAATACTTAAAGTGGTCTGCAGTAACAGCTGTATTCTGGAAGTTGCATCAGGCATTAACAAAACCTTATGATTTTGTACAGAATTAACTGCTGGCTAAAGAGAAGCACCTCCTGTCAGGGGTATTACTGGCTGTGGAAACTGCAGTGTTTTAATCAAACATCTCTTTTGATACATTTTAGAAACGTTTCAGAAAAGGTTTTAAGCAGAATAAGGCAGTCACACAACCTCCAGCTTGGGAGGCTTTCAGCAGGGAGCTGTGCCCTCTGCTGCTTGCTTGAGCACAGTGAAGAAATAGCAGGAAGAAATAGCTTGTATGCCTTTGACCCGAACCCTGGATGAAATAGGACAATTCAAAGACATCTCCTAACATAAGTATTTTTATAGGATATGGTTGTTGTCCAAAAGCAATTTCTGTTATTAGGATTTTTGTCAAAATGGT